AATATTGATATAAACAATATGGTGCCCAATAGTCCAAACATTCCATGCCAAAGTTTCGAAGTGAAACGGGTATCACGGTGGGACGCGATCTCAACAGGAAGGTCATGCAGATGAAATCAACGTCAGCAAATACCTTACCTGTTTTCTCAGCAGAGATCAAATGTGAAACATGCGCAAGATGAACCATCTTGCTGAATTGGTCCAGTAGCACAAGGATCCCACTTTTGAAATTTGTGTCACGCGGAAGTCCGAATATGACGATCATCACACAGACTTCCAGCTGTCAATTGGCACCGCAAACGGGCCTGAGTGGACCCGACGGTTTTACTCTCTGTTAGTTGTTATAAGTCTTCCTTACTTGCTCACCCACTTATACATGTGTGGCCAATATTAAATCCGAGAAAGCCCGAAAAACATTTTCTCACGTCCGCGATGGCCACCCGAAGGGCTGTCATGGTACTGATATAAGGAACGATGACGCAAATCTTCGTGTTTAAGAGCAACAAACCTTGCTGAATCCTTGTGTTTAACTGCAGAGTACAACAACCCCATTGGATACTCCGGAATGGTGATCACGCGATCGTGTGCAAGACGGAAACCTTGCAGTGTTTTGCTGGAGTTTCTTTAAAACACCTCAACAAGTGCTGACAAAACTCATCGGACTTGTAACCTTCGACGATTTCATCGCAAATTAAAGTCATTGTCTGCGCATTGATCGTCCGGACACATTCGAATTGTCGACATGATGGTGCATATTTTTGCTCCCGGACTCTGCATCGTAGTTCGGACGTCTTGAAAACGCATCAGCTAACATGTTTGTCTTGTCTGGCTTGTAGTGTACAACAAAGTTGTACTTCGCAAAGAGAGAAACAACCGGCTATCTTCTGCAATAAATGAGGTGTCTTTACTGCCGTAAGCAGCAAGGCATGATTTTTATGACAGCGCAAAGAGCTCATCTCCAAGCAGGTACGCATGGAAATTAGCCAAAGCATACTTCATTGCTTGTAGCTCTTAGTCATGAACAAGAATGTGTTAATTCGCGAGCCGGAGTTGATGCGATTGATACGAAACGACTCAATCTCGACTCTCATCATCGTGTTGCATCAAAGCACAACCGACGTCATAATCACGTGCATCCCAGACCACGTAAATAGGCATATGTTTGGTATAGGCCAATCACTGATAGCTTTGCCTTCTTCCGGATCGACATGAACGCAATTCTTGCCCACAAAGCAGCCGAGAACGGGGATCTCATGCACTCTTTTAGGTTAGTGTAGGGTTGATCCTCTCGCATACCTTGGAAGACTTGTCAAAATGATCAAGATAAACATCGACATCAGACTTCTTACCCGTTTTCTTAGTATTAACGAGTAAATTGTCAAAATGACTCGGTGGGAACTCTCTCAATGGTTGAAACCATTCTGTTGAACGTCGCGGGAGCGTCCTTCAAACCTTGTGGCATGACTAACCATTTCCACAGCAAACCACTGGGGGTACTGACAGCAATTAGTGGTGTATTATTTTTGCGCTTCGTATCTGATAGAAATCATCTTTTAGATCGATCACACTGAAAACAGTAATTACAAGCATTCAATCAAGAAATAAATCCTTGTTGTGTCATTCAATTTGTTGAAGGTGTGAACAATGCGCCAACTATCTGTGGCTTCCTTCACTAAAAAGGTGAGACTTGCTCTAACGCACATAATTAGCCTTCTATCACAGTGCAAAGAACTCGTTAATTGCAACAACTATTTTTTTGGCAAAGGCCACTGTGTGCGAGACAATACTTCGTACCAGTAAATGTGTGAACCTCATGACAATTGACTCTGTCAGATGGCAATTCGTCCGGAACCTTGTATGGAAAACTACCAGCATATTCACTAGCAAGTCCATACACGGGGTTTGTTCTTAGAGCCTCTAACTTCTACTTTCCGTCCGTGTCTTCTCATCATATACTTCCGCAGTTTCGATGTCATCGACGATAGCTACTTCGATGATCACACATATTTGCAAAATTTCGCCTTTTGCCAGGCTACGCTTCAATGTCTTCTTGCTCATCAACGGCAAGGAAAACAAATTCTTTGACTATACTGGGAGGATTTTTAATCTTCACATGGCGAATAACATCAATGTCAACTTCTTCGTTGTAGGTCACAACATCAACTAGCTCGCACAAAGAATCTTGTTTTTGGTCACTCCCTTCATAAAAAAAAACGAGTACCTTGATCGCGGGCACGCTTAAAACTTGACGAAAAACTCTTCTTGGTGAAGATTACCAAGTCTACGTGCTATACGCCGAGTAAGGAGCTGCAATGCTCGCCGAAGACTCCTGGGCTTTTGATGATTACTAGAATTGGCATGCTTGTATAAGGTCCTAGCGACAGCCTTATAGCAAAAATGCTGCGTGTCATGTGTGGTATTTTAGCCGTCAATCATGATACAGAACCCTTTTTTACTGACCCATAAGGGTTGAGCAGACGGTGACACAATCTTTATCACGGTCGATAGTTGAGATACTGTATGTGTTTAGAGTCTACTCACATATATGCGATGTGATTGATGCAAATGGTTTCAGAAGAAGGTGCACAATGTGTGCTTAAAATTATGGATGATCTCTCACGCAATGAAGTCGAGTGCTTCCCTTGTAAGGCGAATTGAAAAATATGTTGGCCGCGTTGAAGGCCCTCTAGGATGCAGATGCGTGGCGATCGGTGCCAATTTAGCACATGGAAGACGACGTCAATACGAATACATGACTCTTGCCCGTGCTGGCATTGCACTGGGGCATTCACGGAGAGCAATTTTAGCACCATATGCCCTGCTTTTGTTAACTTCAGCTTCGCTGTTCTTAAAACCTCGATTCAAAATCCACTGTTTCGTTCCCGATTCTAACTATCTGTTAATATCAAGCGCCTATCCTCGATATTGCTTTGTCAGTCAGCATTCGCGTGTGCTTCAACCGCAAATGTAAGTGGTTTTCCTTCGTGCACAATTCCATGCAAATATATCTTTTTTCTAAACTGATGGTTACATACCGCAATTCGCTACTAGTAAATGACTGGATGGCTGTTCAAGCGTGCTAATGTGCATGCGTTATCGTATGCGGGCAATACTCCTTGACTGCATCACTGCAAGCTTCTGCATCTGTTCCTGCTGACTAACTGTTTCAGTTTCACGGTACAAGGTTAGAAGCACAAAGACCAATTTGTTATTCTGGTGTTCCACTAACCATATCACTCCATAGATTCGTCGGTGTATGGAGTTGCTTGATCACCAGCATTCCAAAAAATCGCATTTGTCGTGGTTTGATCTAAAGTGCACTTCCCGGCGCCAGTCATATAAATCTGTAAGAATGGTTGACCCCATGGACGTCATAATGGGTTTTGGCTTTGATCAACATACTGTTCGCGTATAAACAGGCTTTCATGCAGCCGTTCCTGGGGCACTTCATATACACGCACTGACTCAAGCCACAGTCGTTAAAACCATTCTTCGCAAAAACACAGCATGTTGCCTTTTTTAAGGCGCAGGCAACTTGCCTTAGTTGATTTAAGATCTCATTCGTTATGCAAACAAATTATTTGATGTCTTTATTATTATTAAACAATACGTGCGTACAGACACGTTCATCCTTTTTGCTACTCAGAAACGTTGATTTGATTCCATCCTTGTAAGCGTTCGTGTGGAATCTGCTGAAACAACACAGATTGAATCTTTTTTTGCTAAAATGGGGTGCGTCTCAATGTTTCGTTTAGCTATACTTTGTTGAACCCCCTTACCACCAATTGTGCCTTGCGGTAAATGATTTCACCAATTTGTTCCCCTTTTTGTGAAAACTCATCGACATGCAATCGAGCGAGCCGACCACACAGTGCAAGCAACGGAGTACTGCTTTGCACTGTAGCTTCTACCTTTCGCCATGCAATTGCTGCGAAAAATTCTGATTACCTTAAATAGAGGCGAATCGGATCTGGGGAGAAACACAAGAAGCAATGGTACTGGAGCAGAACGCTAGCTATGATGACAGAACCAAGTTAGTGATGTACAAGAATCATTTTCAAAAATAGAATGTTGAGATCACGAGGGCTGGATTAGTTCGTTAGGCGCGGTAAGATCGATACGCAGGTATATCGTCCGATCCGATAGTCCAAATAATCATCGAGAGGACAGGAAGCTAAAGTCTCGACAACACAGCCTTCCAAGACAGCTTCATCCAAAAGCGATGGCGAGTTTATCTCCTCGTCCTGTCGTACAATGACCGCTTTGGCTAAATTGCCTGCCTTCAAGGCACTGCCGAACTCTTCAGGGGACATCTCGTCCAGCTCAAGAAGATCATCTACTGCAGGCATAGCCTCAAGGCGGACGTCGCCATCTTCCTCCCCGTTCATACCATTGACGAGGGTGTATAACTGTGCAGCGTCATCAACGGTAGACACACCCTGGATCATGGTCGACGCACCGTATCTTGCAGACAACATACGGCGTCGCCGTCGCCTCTGTACAGAGGTTCAGTGTCTCGGTGAGACCAGGGTGAACACGCACCACGTCATGCGGTGTCTCCCTCACTGTCCGCTCCTTTGTGGCTCCGATTTTATCGACAACATCTGACGAAAAACTGCTCACCCCGCAGTCTTCGTCCAGAGGATAATGTGCCATTCGACGCGCATCTGAAGGGCCGTGCCCAAGATGCCTCGGACTCTGGCCGAGCACGCCAACTATGGCATGCAGCGACTGCTACGCATCGAGAGCAGTGCTCAGTGGTTAACGTGTCACTTCACGTGCATCACGGGGGCCTCGCCCCTGATGCCTTGGCCCTTGGCCGACCATTTCACGCATGACATGCAGCGACTGCTTTAAAACTCGAGCAGCGCTCAGTGGGTTACGTGCCACTCCACGATCAGCCCGCGAGCCACG